ATACCACTGTTGTTAACTATATTCCTAAAAAGAATAAAAATGTTATTCTTATGAGTACTTTGCATCATGAAAAGGCTATTAGTGACAGAAATGACAAGAAGCCCCAAATTATTTTAGATTACAATTCCAGTAAGGGGGCAGTGGATACTCTAGATCAGCTTGTTGGTACATATACATGTAAGAGGAAGACAAATCGCTGGCCCATGATTGTTTTTTACAATATGCTGGACATTTCAGCCTACAACGCGTTCGTTTTATGGACATCGATAAATCCCCAATGGAATACCAATAAACTTACAAAACGACGAATTTTTCTTGAGGAGTTGGGAAAAACACTGGTGAAACCACTTATCCTTTCCAGGAAAAATTTACCGAGAACTAAAGACTCACAAGAACTGGTAAAAAGAACACGAGCAGAAGCGAGTAGAGAAGATGGAAATTCTAGTGAACCGTCTATGGACCATCCAACTCCGCCTGCTAAACGAGCACGCTGTAAATTTTGCTCTAAAAGGGATAACAAGACTAATATTTTATGTTGTATATGTCATAAACATATTTGTAAAACCCATTCTTTCTATTACTGTCCCAGTTGTAAACTGAATTAAATTTTGTAGATATTTGTTCTTAGGGTTTTCTGGGAAAGAAAAAATGCTTTTTATTTTTGTTAATAAGGTTTAATTTACAGTAACAATATAATTATTGTTTAATTAACTATAATTTTTTATTAATACAGTTTTGTTTAGCACCATTAGCTTATTTTATTTCTATTAGGGAGCGTAAATCATAGTTGGGTCATATTGACCCGAACAGTACATTTGTGTAGTTTACTCGAACGGTACAGCAGGGTTAAGCCAGCTGAACTCATAACCACATGTCGTTTTCTTACTATTTGTAATGAAATTTCCCAAGATAACTGTACTAAAATAATCACAGTTTTTTATTTTCGTCACGCAAAAATGTGGCTGTTTGCGTTTTGCGTTTTTTATGATGTCTATCCATTGATTTGCACTAAAAATTTGTTGTTGATGACGACTAGCGGTTTCAATGACTCCAAATTTCCCATCGTTGGGTAAAAACGAACGTCCTGACACTAAAAATTTATGGTCTATTGTGTTTATACTAAGGTTAGGTTCTTGTACAAAAGAAAGGGCCATGTTGATGTTTCTATTCTGTCCGGCACAAGAATCAGAGTACATTATCACATGATTTTGTGTAGCTGCATGAGTTTTTAAAAGCTTTACAAGAGATGGTACAATGTCTTGAGGCCCCTTCCCACATTAATTTCATCGCAGACAAACATCTAGCCTACATTGTCATTGAAACAATGTATACCGAAGTTATAAACATAAATATTTCTTTTATAGTATGCTATAGAAGAATTAAGTTTGGGGAAGGTAAGGCTTTCTGTAGATCAAACGTTAGAATGTATGCTTCATCAGTTCTTTTTGAATCATTTTTCAGATTTTTTCTTGTTGCTTTTGCCTTTCGTTGTTGAAGTTCTCTTTGTATTTCAAATCCGTTCCTATCATTTTCATCGCCAGCTCCCTGTATCCTTAAATTAAGGTAGTCATAAGTTTTGCAAGTGTGCTGGTGTGGCATTTTAAAATGTAAATTAAATTTTGTGTTGATAACTTTATTTCAATATTTTAATTTCTTAGGTTCTGTCATATTAATATCACATTTTTCTTTGTAAAGATCATACATTTTTCGTACTGTTAGTCCTGGATTTAAATACTTTCTACAAGAGTTATTTTTCCTCTTGTAATCGCTTTGGTAGTAAAGAAAACTTTCGATGTGAGCTGCTACAATGTCAGAATCATCAAGTTTTCTGGAACTTATTGTACCTCGTTTGTCAGTAGATTGGAACACATCACCCTTTGAAAGGCAACCATACAGTCTGCCATCACTGATTTGAAATATTAAAAAATATTTCTTACACACAGATTGGGTTTCATTATTTGACTTAAAATATTTAAAATGAAAATGTTTTCCTGCTCGTGAACAAACTATTTAGTGGACATTTGAAGACCATAATTTTTTAAATTCCAAAAAGAGTTAAATATTTCTTTTTATCCTCTGTCAACAGCGTTAAACATTTTTTTGGACATCCACAATCAATATTTTCAAATTTTTTCTCATTTTTTATTGTCTGTACTGTCCAATTTTCTTTATTGAGTGATCTTTTTCTAGCCTTAGCTGATACAGGGTCTGCTTGAAGATTTTGCTGGTCATTATTATCATTTATATTTTCACCATTACTTGAATCTGTACCTAAAACAAGGAGACAACACAGTTAAAAGGTTGAGCAAGTATAATTAGTTCTGAAACTCAAAAAATAAACAAAATAGTTCCTTATTAGGCAATCCAGACCACGTAACCTCTGTGGTACTCAAGTTCGTAGTTGTGGACGTATCTTTAGCACAGAATTACAAAATTAGGTCGTCAGCATATAGGTTGTAGTTCACCGGGTTGTAAATATCCTTGCAAATATCATTAATAGTTATTATAAATACAGTGAAACTTAGAACTGATCCTTGATGTACCCCATTTACCTGAAGGTAGATTGAGGAAGCTTTTTTGTTAAGTAATACGTTGAAGCGGTGACTAGAAAGAAACTGTTCAATAAAAGATAATGTATTTCCCGTAATATTTTCCAGTAATAAATTTTGCTTATTGTGAAAGGCGTTTGTGATCTCTGTTTGTAACATTACTAAGTTGTCAGAGGTGCTTCGTGATGGATGGAATCCGGATTGAGCTGACTTTAAATTTTTGTGTTTTTCGAGATACCACATAAGTCTTTTGTTTATTAGTTTTTTTAGCAGCTTACACAAGGTGTATGTCAGTGAAATAAGACGGTAGAAATTTGGATTATTCGGGGAATTTTCTGTAGATTTATATGTACACAAACTGCATATAATTCACCCAAATGCAGTCTAGTGCATGGGTATACCCCTACCTAGAGTGACTTGTAGCGCTGCCGCTGGATGAAATCGGCAAAATATACTTCTCCGGTGTCCTATCTCTCTTGTAACTTGTACTACTATTTATAGTACTATCGGTAACGTGGATCAAACGCCACGGATGTCAGTTTTTTTTGTTTTTAATTCAATTTTATATCACTGTGGTGATTTTAGTAATCTGTTTTTTTTTTTAATTAAACTGTGTGTTTATTACTGATTTTTTAAGTTTTCAGTGTGTCAAGGTATGTAGGAAAAATTATACAAAACTATAATTTGCAACGAGAGTTAGCAAGAAAATATACAATTTAAGTTTATTTAAATGTTGCAATCTACTACTTCTGCCATTCATTACTTTGTCACTTTTTCATTATAGATTTAACAAAATTATTCATAATATTCATATAACAAAAATATTCTTATAGATCTGGTTATCGATTGTAAACTAACACACAGATTTCTATTAAATTGTTGATCTATTTATTTTTCTCGGAAACTGTAACTGAACTGATTTATTCTTTTCTCTATATGTTTATATTGTACTTAAAGCTAACCTACGCAATTAAATCAAAAGCAAATCCTAACAATTACACCTTCAAATAAACCACATCTACATAAACCTTTCTACCACCGAATCAAAATGGATCTCTCATCTCTGAACACCACCTTACCTCCTTGCTTTCCCGTTAGTTTTGAACCTGCTGCACCATGGACTTTGGGAGTACCTAAAATAATAACTACCCTAACATCATTGGAGAAACACACTACTAACCATAGTATAATACATCAAAATCTGCAAAACTTATTATCAAAGTATAGAAATTACTCTCAAATGTATACAGATGCTTCACAATCAACAGACGGCGTGGAAGCAGCAGTTATATCCTCTAATATGTGTCAAAAATATAAGTTGCCAATACACCATAGTACTCTTAATGCAGAATTATATGCCATATACGAGGCACTCAAATATATTATATCCTCACCAAATTAGAAATATATAATTTTGACTGATTCACTAAACTCACTACAATATATAGGAAGAATATACCCAGAGAATCATATTCTTGAAAAAATAAGACAAAATCTGATAGAAATAGAAAATTATAATAAGGAGGTAATCTTTATTTGGATCCAATCACATAATGGTATTAGAGCTAGCGATGTTTGAAGTGTTATCAAATCGCGGATCCTAGGTGAGTGACAAAACTGGTGGGAATTTTCACTGTCCAATCTTCGGAATATTAAACCGGACATTAAACCATGGAGATGTTTCCCCACCAAAAGAAGGGATCAAGTGACAATAACTCGTCTTAGATTAGGTCATACCAGTGCCACGCACAAGTTCTTAGTTGCTAAAGAATCCGAACCAAAATTTGAGCAGTGTAACGTTAAACTCTCGGTGAAACATGTTGTAGACTGTCCAGTTTTCTCCACAGCAAGAATCAATTATGGTATCTCAATAAACTTAGAGAAAGCACTTGGTGCAAATTGTTCATTCACAAATATGTTAAACTACTTAAAAGCTATTAATTTTGTTAATATATAATATATTTAATATTGTAAATCTGATTCTCACTAATAACCTTCGGGTTGATGCGAATTTGTAAATAAAAAAACATTAATTTCATCAGTTCAATGATTTTAACACGACTTACTTAACTAAAAAGTCCTATCTTCACAATTTTATGTGGATAGGACGCTTTAACTAAGTAATTGGCATATTATGATGTTTATTCTAAGCACAACAGCTGTTAGTTGTAGAAAGGACAGACAAATTTATGATTTTGTACGACTTGAGGTGGCAGAAGCAGAAAGGACTTTCTAACTAAGTAATAAGATGGTAATTGTCTAATAGTAGTGGAATATAACTTTATTAAAAAAAAATCCAAAATTGTAGATCGGACGTTTTTACTAAGCAGGACAGAATGAGTCTTTGCGCATATAATTATCGAAGTTTGAGATATCAAAGTTCGGCGTTTATATTACACCGACAGTTTTCAATTTGTTCAGTACATAAAGAGGAAGAAATTAAGTTTTATAATGGGTGAAGATAGCACGGGTTACAGATATTACTATTATGCTTACAAATCAATAAAAATGAATGATTCACCAGTTGTTATCGCTGTGATCCACCTTTTTTATATTTAATCATTTTTAAATACTGGAATTTACTATAATACTAATATTATACTCGTATTCTTAAAAAGCATTTTACATTTAGTTCAAGCTGAAAAAATAAAATATAATTAAATTAATAGACAAACTTAGTAAGATACTTTATTTATTTTTAGGTTTGCCATTGGTAAGTTCCGGCATGGCATCTTCTGGTACCGGGTTTAACTCCCTCCCAGATAGTGAAATGCTGCCTCCACTACCCATGGGACCACCTGCAATTCCACCAAATCGTTTTGATCCATACTTCGATGCAACGACTCCCAGTAACGTTACTGCTCTTGTTGGGAAATCAGCGTATCTCAGTTGCCGAGTTCGAAATTTAGGAAATAAAACAGTAAGTAAACTACTTTATTTACTTAAACTATTTTATTCTTACCACTTCCTTAGGTTTTAAAGCCAAGATATTCTTCTATTGCCTGGTCCAAATATCTTGTTCTGAAGAATGAGTTGTAACAAGCCATATCTGTGTTAATTTCTCATAACACTGCCAAGATATTCTAATTTGCGCTTTTTGATTGTGTTAGTGATCTCGCAGTCCTTACCCATTTCACGTAGGTCCTCAACATTAGTCACACGATTCTTCCATTAAATTCGTAAGATGCGCCTGTAACACCACATCTCGAAGAGCTCGAGCTTTCCTAAAGAAGCTTCCGAGAGTGTCCATGCCTCTACTCCGTATAACAATGTAGAAAATACAAAGCATTTGATGATAGAGATTTTGGTACTAAGTGGTAAATCGTGACTTCTGAAAACAGACTTCATCTTCACGAACGCTGATCTTGCTTTTCTTAGGCGTTGTTTTATTTTGGTAGAGTGGTCCCATCGACTGTTTATGTTAGTACCGAGATATATGTGGCTGTTTATCCTGTAAAAAACGATGTTTTAGGAAAATAGATGTTAAAGATTTTAGTTCAGTTGAACATCTATCTGTCAATTCCATGGCTAAATGCTAGCTGATATGTTATTTTATTGTAAGCTGAAATATATTAGCTCAGTGTTATTGGAGTATTATTTTTCTTAGAGAATTCAATTTTTGCAGTTCCTAGAGAAAAAATAGAAACATATCGATATTGTGATATTTTTTTAGAACAAGGTAGTATCATCTAAAAAATTACGTTGATGGAGTATAATAACAAACACAAAGACAACAGAAAAAAATTCTGTATTTATTATTACAAAGAGTTAAACAATTCTGAATAACAACATGAGATGTGATTATTCGTTACTAAATCCAAGAGATCTGAAAACTGTCAGAACACAATAAAGAGTATTTTACTTATTGCAATAATCAAATATAACACAAAAACTGTCACAATTGTAAATGTGACTCTTTTCAAGATAAGCACTACGTGTAGACAGTTATAAAGTCTAAAGTGACATTGTAACGAAATGCATGCTGAGCTAACCTGTAAAAAACAAAAGTGTCACATCGTCATCTCGCGGTAAATAGTTTAAATATAAGAGTGAAGCTTTTATGGAAAAAAGTATGACTTATTTTAGTACTTTAGTAGCATGTTTATCTCAATAATGGCGATTTTTGAGTTGTGACTCTTTGTTAGCGGAGGTGCGATGTGTATTTAATATTTCGCGCTTACTAACTACCATGTACTATGTTTTGTTCGTATTGAAATGCAGCCTATATTCGCGACTTATATCTGAAATATCTGCAAAACTATCTGCAAATACTTCTGCGTCGTCAGCAGTGTTTGCAAGTTGTCTGCAAGTTTCAGGAATTCTGTATAAAATTTATCAGGCCCTATAGCTTTACCATCTTTAGTTTTTGTAATAGCTGCCGTAACTTCCTCAATGGTAATTGGAGGTCCTGTTTGGTAATCTATGTCTTGAATGGCAATCTGCTTTTATCTGCAAATGTTACTTCTACATATTTCTTCCAAGTGTCTAGTCTCTCTTCCACACTTAGTAGTGGATTACCTTGGTGGTCTGTCAAATATCTAACTGCCATTAAGCTTGTATAAGCCTGCAGCTTCTTTAACTTTTGTGTGCATATTGAATGAACCGTGTTTCTGTTGTAATAGATGTATTTCCGCACATTGTTCTCTCAACTGTATGACCTTAGCCATTCTGATTGCTTTTTTGGTCTCTTTGTCTATTTTTTTGTATAATGTCTTGTCCTGATCTTTGACCTTTCGCCTCTCTTCCATCAAATCTAGGATCTCATTTGTCATCCACGATTTTTTCTTAATTTTTAGTGGTTTGAGCAATTTTTCTTGTATGTCTGGTGACTTTTTGTGCAATTTTTTAAGCTCTCGATCTCTTAAATCAGTTTGAATAACGGGTATTCAAATTGCTATGTATATACTGTTTTACACTTTGAGTTCTGACTATGTGGCCTGAAGTATCTTAAGATGATTTCCACGTGTATAATCTTCTGTAAGGGAGTTTGAAGTAAGTGTTAGTAGAGATAGTGCAAACACTCCTGACCACGGCGCAGTAGACGAAATTTGGTTTTGGTCGCTCAGCAAACTACTTTGTTCTGCCTTGCAACCACTCGAGCGTGGAGGACCGACAAACGTGTCTCCGACTATATAAAAACTCCTAGAGTTAATATTGTATTTCCAGTTAGGGGCTGGTTCAGAATATCCAAAATTGACTTTATTAGGTATAAGTGAAATAAAATAAATAAACAGTACTATAAGTGTAATGAAAACAAATAACAAGAATGTATGTTAAAGTTTTACTCTCTCGTAATTTTTATATACTACCTTCCTTTTGTCTTTAAATCGTTAAACATCTTACAAACAAAAAAAGGGTTACAATACAAATGGATATGAATTCATATTTATCAGAGAAATGTGCACATACTTATTCGGCCTTCTAAATTTTAACATTAACTTATATTAAGCACACGAGATATGGTTTCATTCGCGAATAGAGTGTGTGTACACAAATTCCGTTTTAAATTGTGTCTCTGACCATGGAGGACTTCAATAATAGAGAACATTACCTTACAATAAATTTGCATAGTACTTGAGACCCCTCAGAAGATGCTTCTGACGGTAACTGGTAGCAGGAACACTTTTATTACTACACTTTCCTTTCGTTGCACCTATGACTCCATCAAGTTCACGTTCTTAAGATCGTTTTATAATATAATTGTTAACAACAAAATGGCTAATGGCGAAGACACACCGCCGTCGCCAACTTCTCTCTTCTTGCTGGTTGTCATCTTGCAGTTGTTGAACACTGCCACTAGGTGGATAAGTCCCCTTTCACAATAAATTTATTTTAAAGTGAATATATAAGTTTACAATTATCTGAGAGTGATTTCCTGCATTTATGTGTTTTTTATTTGATATTACATATTATATTATTTTATTTATTAACATGTGCGACCTAAAGGCATTCAACGCCCTCTCATGGCGAGAAGGCTTTCTAAGTGTAACAGATTGGAACTCATGTCATAAAAAATGTAACATTGGGAACGCACGAAGATGGCGCTAGAGGTTCAAAATTTTGTTTCCCAACAGGTTTAGTCCATACTTTCATGCGAAACGCACTGTACTATATGCAACGTGAATGGTAGAATGCTTTAGTTTAGTTAGAATAATTCCAATTACAATAGAACCTTTCTGCCTTTAACGTGAATTTTTGAATTCACCCAATCGCTCTCCTTCATTTCTTTTTCCAAGCCCAAACTGCTCTACAAATTTTCTCGATTGTCTCTTGCCAATCTTGGCATTTAAATCACGCATAGTCAAGGTTAGATCCTGTTTAAGTAGTTGTTTCAAGGTGTTTGATGATTCATTATAGAATGCTTCAATTAAACTATAGTCGGGAAAAATAAAGCACTGACTGGGGGATATAATTGGATTAATATTTATTACAACTCATGTGGTACCCTTTTTACAAACTTTTTATAATAAAAAAATGTTTTTAAGAGTAATGCAAAAGCAATTTCTTTCAATTTTCTTTTGAACCGAAGCTTCTATACTGGTGCTGTATTTTCTACGTATGTTCGTCCAATAATACTTCCCGATGAACTAAAAATGCTTTTTCTTTCTTTTGAAAAATTGTTTTTCACATTTCTTTTTGTCTCTTTTTTGTAAATAGAGCTTATATACTCCAAGGTCTAATCTTCTGGAATATTTTCTTGTTTGATTAGATATTTATTAAATATCTCTGCAAACAATTCTGTTAGTACAGACTGTCCAAGTTTTATTAATTTAATGGGGATCATAGAAAATATTTAAATTTATTTATCTATATCCAACACTCCCACTAGATAAACAAATTTAAAAAATATCATTTAAGAAATATTTCTGACACTACATTAACTAAACCAATCTCTTTCAAAAACTTGTTGTGTTTTACAGGACTCAAGCTTTTTGTCAAGAGATCAGCTGGCATGTTATCTGTGTCTAAATACTCCAGCTTTATCAAACCTTTGTTTACAGCTTCTTTGACAAAATGATATCGGATATCAATGTGTTTTGTTCTTCTATTCAATACAGGATTTATTGCTAGTTTCTGAGCTCCCATATTATCATTATATAGTATAACAATTTCATCAATACCCAACATTTCATACAACAAATTCTTTAAAAAAATAGCCTCTTTAGCAGCTTCCGATACTGCTATATATTCAGCTTCCGTGCTTGACAGAGAAACACTATTCTGTTTTCTGCTTTCCCAGACAATAGGTCCACCAGAAAACTGAAAATAGAAACCAGTATAAGATTTTCTGTCATGAGAATTACTCCCCCAACTCGCATCTACATAACCTTTCAAATAATTATCATTTTTTGAAAAACTTAATCCATACTCTTTTGTAGCCTTTAAGTATTTTAATATTCGTTTTACATGCTTCCAATGCGTTTCTGAATGATAATTATTAAATTGACTGAGATAACTTACAGAATATGAAATGTCTGGTCTTGTCAAAACTGACAGATACATAAGACCACCTATTAAATTCTGATAAGGCACTTGAGGAGATGCATTATCTTCTCTATTCAAACTTAAACTAATCTCCATTGGGGTAGCAACTTCTTTTAAATCCTCCATATTGAACCTTTTTAACAATTGTTCAATATAGGATTTTTGATCTAGAGTTATAACACCATTCTCTTTATTACGAGTTACTCTCATACCTAAACAATTCTTAATTTCTCCTAAATCTTTAATTTTGAAACATTCATTTAATTTCAATTTTAAATTATCTGATTCATCTGAATCGTTAGAAAAAATAAAAAAATCATCAACATAAACAGAGGTAATGGTTTTTAGACTATTTTTCATCTTTGTGTA